TGGGATGATGCAGTAGATAAAGCAGCAAACATTGAATACAAGCTGTACTCACCATTTAATCCTATCGCTGCTTACCTCAAGTAATATTACAAACCAAGTCCTTCTCCATTCAAGAGATGTGTGGATTAAAGTCCATAAACTGTTAAAAGTAACACATAATTTACAAAGATACTCCTCAGTGTGGCATAACCCTGCAATCCGTATGAGAAAAAATACTGTTTTTTGGAAGCAGTGGCTTTCCCACGGGTTATGCACCATTGATGATTTATTTGAGGATGGCTTATGTCTCTCATACAGTAATCTGGTTTAGCGATTTAATTTGGTAGGAAAAGGGCAATTTTGGAAGTACCTAAAGAGAAGTAAGAAGTTGTATTATATCAAAGTCCTACAATATAGCTGATAATATAATTGTAAACTACCCCAAATTACCGGTGGAAAACCACAAGGCTTCATAATTTTATAAAGTAATTAACTCCCTCCTGTGTGATGTCTTTTAACATGAAATTGATTTGGCAAAGGGACCTTGGGGAAGATACTGATGATGACAGATGGTCTAAAATTGTGTCAGGATGTGGTAAACATGTGAAAGAAGCCTGGGGAAAGCTCACACAGTATAAGGTACTCCACAGATATTATCATACACTGTTACAACTTTACAGAATGAGGTTGTTACATAACAATAGCTGTCTATTAATAGCCAGTAATGAAGAACATGAATTATTACAGCAAACACTGTTAAACTACAGATGGGCATCGGAGTATTGTTTGAAAACAGACAAGAACAATGAGCCTCATTTACTAATATGTGTGTAGAAATGTTTGTACTCTGTGCAGAAAATATGTGCACAGGCAAAATCACTGTTGAATTCATGACACATGCACAGCGGCTGATTTTGTTGTTACCACTGTGTACGTTAATGAATCAGAATCATTCTAAGCTGACAGGCTTGTGCCCGTTATATGCAATCAGCATACTGCCACGCCCCCTATTCTCTATATAAGCAAATAAGTTTTCCCAGAGGTGTATTATGGAGGTGAAGGTGCTTCTAAACACATACTAAGGCTCTGACACCAGTGTCAAACTGTTACTGAGCGTCTGTGATTGTAATGGCAGTCAGAAACAGCTGATAAGCCTTTTGTCACTCTCTGCAAACATGTTCTAACATGTCGGTCTCTGATGCTCTCCACTGCAGGCAGGAACTGCAACATCTCCCAGCAAGGTTACATATGCAGAGGTGGTCCTGGCTAGTTTTACGCCCTGGGCGAACCATCCCTCGCCCCCACCCCACCCCCAATTTCATGGTTAATTAATACATTTTACCAATGCATTAGTTAATTAATGGTTTAAAATACTGTCTATTAACCCTATGGGCCCTAGGTGTTTTTGGGGTATTTTTACTGCCTTTACTTTTGAGCTCATATCACAGTCATTATAAAGGCTACATACACATGCTATATCTTGTTTTTTTCAGGACAATGTGGGCTATCCAGATTTGCCATCATTACATGTCCTCCTGTGTGCCTGTATTTTATATTAATTTTATATCAATGAAAAAAACAAATCCGTGTTGCTAAATTTTTACATTTTTACATGTATCTCACCATAGCAAGTTGGAAGTTGACATATTCTGCCATATATGAAGAGGAGAGACTCTCTGGAATCTGGCAATATAAGAACCATGATGGTGGGACATTCTGTCACTTCACAGTTGTCCAAAACATGTGGTTTGTGCCAGGCGGACATGATTGCCAGTATTTTTTCATTATTGCAAGAAATTCCATTGACTCATTCACAAGTAAAAAATGTGTTTTATCTGAAAGAAACATGCATTGTCGGGAGGTGGAAGGAATACTTTGAGGAGCTCCTCAATCCCACCAACACGTATTCCAGTGAGGAAACAGAGACGGGGGTCTCGGGGGCGGGTCGTCCGATTTCTGGGGCAGAAGTTGCTGAGGTAGTGAAACAACTCCGAGGCGGGGGAACCCCCGGGGGTGGATGAGATTCGTCCTGGATATCTCAAGGCTCTGGATGTTGTAGGGCTGTCCTGGCTGACACGCCTCTGCAACATTGAGTGGACATTGGGGGCAGTGCCTCTGGAGTGGCAGACCGGGGTGGTGGTCCCCATTTTCAAGAAAGAGAACCAGAGGGTGTGTTCCAACTACAGGGGGATCACACTCCTCAGCCTACCCGGTAAGGTCTACTCCAGGGTGCTGGAGAAGAGGATCCGGTCGATAGTTAAACCTCAGATTGAGGAGAAGCAATGTGGTTTTTGTCCCGGACGCGGAACCGTGGACCAGCTCTTTACCCTCGCCAGGGTGCTGGAGGGGGCATGGGAGTTTGCCCAACCAGTCCACATGTGTTTTGTGGATTTGGAGAAGGCTTACGACTGTGTCCCCAGGGGCATCCTGTGGGGGGTGCTCCGGGAGTATGGCATTGGTGGCCCCTTGCTAAGGGCCATCCAGTCCCTGTACCGAAGGAGCATGAGTCTGGTTCGCGTGGCTGGCAGTAAGTCGGACCTGTTCCAGGTGAGGGTTGGACTCCGCCAGGGCTGCCCTTTGTCACCGGTTCTGTTCATAACTTTTATGGACAGAATTTCTAGGCGCAGCCGAGTGGTGGAGGGTGTCAGGTTCGGTGATGGGGGGATCTCGTCCCTGCTTTTTGCGGATGACGTGGTCCTCCTAGCTCCATTGAACAGTGACCTCCAGCTCTCGCTGGGGCGGTTCGCAGCCGAGTGTGAAGCGGCTGGGATGAGAATCAGCACCTCCAAGTCTGAGGCCATGGTCCTCAGCCGGAAAAGGGTGGATTGCCCACTCCAGGTCGGGGGGAGGTCCTTCCTCAGGTGGAGGAGTTTAAGTATCTCGGGATCTTGTTCACGAGTGAGGGTAGGATGGAGCGGGAGATTGACAGGCGGATTGGGGCAGCGTCAGCAGTGATGCAGGCGCTTAACCGGTCCGTTGTGGTGAAGAGGGAGCTTAGCCAGAAAGCAAAGCTCTCAATTTACCGGTCGATCTACGTTCCAACCCTCACCTATGGTCACAAGCTCTGGGTAGTGACCGAAAGAATGAGATCGCGAGTACAAGCGGCCGAAATGAGTTTCCTCCGCAGGGTGGCTGGGCTCAGCCTTAGAGATAGGGTGAGGAGCTCAGACATCCGGGAGGGACTCGGAGTAGAGCCACTGCTCCTCCACATCAAGAGGAGCCAGTTGAGGTGGTTCGGGCATCTGGTAAGGATGCCTTCCGGATGCCTCCCTTGGGAGATGTTTCCGGCATGTCCAACCGGGAGGAGACGTTGGAGCCGCCCCAGAACACGCTGGAGGGACTACATCACCCGGCTGGCCTGGGAACGCCTCGGGGTTCCCGCGGAAGAGCTGACGGAAGTGGCTGGGGAGAGGACTGTCTGGGCTTCTTTGCTGAGGCTGCTGTCCCCATGACCCGAACTGGATAAGCGGAGGACGACGAGTACGAGTACGAGAAACATGCAATATTTACATCTAAGATAACAGAAAAATAGTCAACCAAGTGCAATGATGTCCTCCAAGATAATATTTGCCACTTTGTTTGCAAAGTTGGACGCACTATGCGTCATTCGGGCCCTTAGGGTTAAAGCCTTTTTAAATGATTTTTTTTAATATGTTAAAGCCCCTACAAAGAACTTTCATTTTGAGTTGATTTTGGTGACCCTGTGGACAAAAGCGGTAGTGTTTTGCCGGAATGAAGCCTACATTTCCCATGAGCTCTAGCGCGTACTTTCGTAAAGACGCTTACCTGGCTTGCGCATGTGTTTGTTTTGGGGATGAATGAAACAACAAGATGGGAAAACTGCCGCGCCCCAGCTCCACCTCTCCGGCATAAGCGCCACCATCTCTGGGGTAAATGCAGCATTCTGCTGGTAAGGCTGAAGGCCTGTTTGGCGAGCACTTCCACGGCTTCTTGGACTGAGTATGGAGCGGTGCCTCGCCTCTTTATTTCTCGGCACTCGCTGTACCCTGTCGACGCCTGGCTGGTACCTGTCGTCAGCCCGGATAAGGTTTTCCAGCCCCGCGGCCCCTGCTCTCCTAGTCCCCGCTGGCGCGGGGTGAATCTGCGCAACCTGCGGCCTCTGTGTGTGGCTCCCCGGACAGCTAACGCCGTGGACGCGCCGGCTCCTGCCAGGATTGGGCTGATAAATGCTAGATCGCTAGCGAAAAAAACGTTTATCCTGAAGGATTTCCTGACTTCCCGAGGATTGGATTTTCTCTGTGTGAGTGAGACTGTTGGTGAGTCCAGTGCTTTCACAGAACTTTTACCCGATGATTGCCGCTAATTTAACTCCCCGCAGACGTCGGGTCGAGGAGGAGGAATAGTGACTATTTATAAGAGTCACTATAAATGTAAGCAGCTAGGTAAGATGACGTGTGCCGTCTGAGTGCCGTAAATCGCTTCGTCCTGGAAGCAACCTGGTGCGGACCCGGACACAGTTTCCTAAAGGTATGGATATACGCTATATAGAAATAGCTTATCTTCACACCGATGGTCTCATTTGCTGTTGTAGGTCATGCACAGACATCAGCAGAAACGAGAGACTTTTGTATATCCAGTTAAAAGTTCCTTGTAGTAGCTTTAAGTTTACATTTTCAAAGACAGACAGGTCTTTATCATTTGTGCGTAGAAATTGTCTGATGCAGCTCTAAATTTGTTCAGAGTAGGAACAAATTCAAGTAAGAAAATATTGATGAACCCCTTATTTCTACTAAAATGTTCATACGCATGGTTTAAGCAGATTTGTATATTCACACTGTTTGTGAATGTGACCCTATGTGAGCCTATTCTTTAACCTGAATGGATCAAGACAACAGGTTACAGTAGATTACAGTAACAGTAAAATATTATGTTTCATGTGAGCCCAAATATATATTTGCCTCCCTTGATTCATGTCCTTGCTGTGTTTCTGCTTTAAGCCTATACCGCAGGAGTTTATATTCATTTGAACCATGTCATTGCCACTAAAACGAGTGTCAGACCTGCGAGGCCCAAAAGCCCAGATACGCTCCACAGCATTCCTCCACTTCCTCCCCTGCAGCAGGCTCTCCAGCTGGGTCTTGAGTTCAACGATGGCCTCCAGCGTCCTGGGGCTAACATCCAGACTCTTCCCCTCCCTCAGGGACATGTTTACATGCTCCAGAGTCCGAATCAGCTCCGTGCTACTCTCCAACAGACGAGTAACCTCTGATAGGAAAAACAAAATTACTGACATGCTGACATGAAATAGTCAAATTGCAACAGTTCATGCTCTGTTATTTTAGCCTTCATCATATCTTGGGGGGGGGGGGGGGGGCGGCGTATAAAACCAGGTTTACACTGAACACAGAAGCGTTGCTAATTGTCACGCAGCCACCCTTCAGCAGTCGCCTGGCCGTTCACACCAGAAGCGCATTTCTCCACACCGGTCAGCAAGTAATTCTGCTCTCTGCTCAGTTTAAGCTGTTAACAGTGGACATGACGTGGTGCCAAGCGCCCAGACCGGTTTGCAATAGTTTCAGCTTCTGGTCTATTTTTTACCCAAGCCACAAGCAACAAGGCAAGAAAACATCCCGAAAATGTGTTAAACTCGATATAAATGTATTAAATATGATTTAAATGATCTGACTATGATAAATAATAGAATATGCATCCCATGCTTCCACATATTTATCAGTTATGTCTAAACAGAGAGCGAAGAGATGAGCAGAGCCACACACACAGACACACATGTCCACACACATACAGACACATAAGCAGATAGAGGCAGAGCTCTACATGTCATTTAATCGGTTAACATAGGCACCAAAAGCATGGTGGCAACATTACACGGGAAATCGGCAGGCTTCGTGGTGCTTCCGAGTCCTGTGTGAACCTGGCTTAAATCAGTCCTTGATTTGCTAGAATAAAACCCAGCTGGGCACAGTGTAATGATAGGACAGTGGATGCAATTAGAGTGCAATTCAAGTTTAATCCTACAGGCAAATAAGAAGAACATTTTAATGAGTAAAGATAAGTGAATTTCACTGCTCATGGAGTGGTATCATACCAAACATGAAGAAAATGTGAAATGGAGAAAAATAAAGTTGTGATCTGCTGACATGTGATGCATGTTTGTTTGCTAACTGATACTAATTAAAGTATGCCACTTTTTTCTTCCAATAACCTGAAACCTCTGCTATTTTAACTCAACACAATCTGTGCTGGTTGGGCACAAGAACTTAAAGATGTTTTCTGATATCAATTGTTTCACATGATTTGAGTCCCTCAAGGCTCCATCTTAGGTCCTATTCTCTTTTCATTGTACATGCTTCCTCTTGGCCAAATTATTAAAAAACATAACATCTCCTTCCACTCCTATGCTGATGACACACAGCTGTATCTACCTATCCAGCCTAACCACAAGTCCAGTGTTGCCAATCTCATAAACTGCCTCAAGGACACAAAGAACTGGATGGCACAGAATTTCCTCCAGCTGAATGAGGGCAAATCAGAAGTTGTCCTCTTTGGCCCCCCTGACTCCATTCGAGGGTTTTCTGACCAGCTCGGTAGCCTCTCTAACTATGTTAAACCCCATGCCAAAAATCTTAGCGTGATATTTGACTCTGCCTTTAAATTTGAGAAACAAATAAATGCAGTAGTAAAAGCCATTTTTTTCCAACTCTGCACCATTTCCAAAATCAAGCCATTTCTCTCCCTCGATGACCTGCAGATAGTCACCCATGCTCTCATCTCCTCCCGTTTAGACTACTGTAACTCTCTGTACACTGGTATCAGTCTGTCCTCTCTGTCCCGCCTCCAGCTGGTTCAGAATGCCACTGCTTGGCTTCTCACAGGTACCCGGAAGAGAGACCACATCACACCTGTTTTTGCCTCTCTCCACAGGCTGCCAGTAAAGTTCAGAGGTGACTTAAGGTTCTCTTGTTTGTTTACAAGGCCCTTAATGGTCTAGCCCCATTCTACATCTCAGACCTTCTAACCCCCCCATTCCACACCCAGGCCCCTCAGGTCAGCTGACCAGGGGCTCCTGGCTGTCCCACGCTCCAGACTTAAGCTCAGGGTTGATCATGCCTTTGCTGTGTCTGCGGCACAGTCTGCTGTGACAGTGGAACAGCATCCCCCTCCCAATCAGATCTGGCCCCACCACTGAATCATTTAAGTCCAGGCTCAAAACCTTCTTTTATTCATTAGTGTTTGAGTCCCCCGATGTGGTTTTCCCTGATGTGTGCCTGTGTGTGTTGGGTCTATAAATGTGTGAGCTGTGTACCTGACAATTATGTCACCCATATGTATGCGTTTCTTCGCATTTTATTCCTTTTGTACAGCACTTTGGTCATCGTGAGTTGTTTTTAAATGTGCTTTATAAATAAATTTGAGTTGAGTTGAGTTGAATTGAGATTTGTGTCATTCCTCAAGGCCTCAGTAAGCTTCCAACAAATGTTGTCTTGCACATCTCAAGGCCGGTATACATTGTGTGATTTTGGGCTGTCCCAGACAACAGATGACCATCATAAAAGAAACGTGGCAATATCTTTGGTTGTGGCTCTAAAACGGTGGTCCTATGTTGCACAATGAGAGAGGTTCAAGGATGGCCATTGTCATGATCTTGTGACCAAAGACAGCCTGGGATAAAATTCTGACAGAGTCAGAAATTTAGGATGACAATCTCACTGTGTGACTGCTGTTACAACCTTTGTCTTTTAACCAACCAATAGAAATGCAGCATGGAATGACGCACTGGCACTAAACCCAAACAAACAGATGGACCGCATCTCGTCATGAAGGCAAAACGTGCTAAAAGAAATGTGTGGGATTTCAGCTAAGAGGAAAACCTTGTGTAGTTGTGGTAGCAGAAGCCTTGCCTTATGATGTGTCCTCGAGCTTTTACCATGATCGTGCAAAGAAGGATGAAGCATGAAAGGAAATAGTGGTGGAGTTGCAGCTGCCAGGTGAGCAAACTAATAATAATAATGATAATAATGATAATAATAATAATAATAATAATAATACATTGGATTTATACAGCGCTTTTCAGGATATTCAAAGACGCTTTACAAAGAACAGAAACGGCAATAAAAAAAAAAGAACTAGCAGCTAGTAAACATACACACAAGAAACACAGCAGTATATAGTGCCCACAAAACTTTAGATTTTTTATTAACGTGTCCCCCTCTGTTGTGCTTCACAGTTGGAGAGGTAATAACTTGTGCAGCATCCCTGCGCACTCAGTATAGAAAGCTATTGCATCATATGTATGCTGTTATTGTACAGTCTGCAATCATCAAACTTGATGTTGTACCCAAGTTTATTAGATCCATGTCGCACAGTGTAGCTTGGACTAAACTTAGAAGATTGCTAAAATCTCACAGTGTGTAGGACTTCTCCAAAGCAAACTTTGGTATTAACAAAAAGACCGAATCAAGCAAATGGTGAAGAAAAATGTTTTCTCTCTCTGTAGGGATTTCTCTCTCTATAGGGATGTTGTCAGGCACTCAGAATAACAATCTGGGCCTGTCTGTCATATAAATCCAACAAACTTCAATTCCTCTCTGCTACTACTGAACTGTTCATGCTTGTTACTACAAAACCTCATGTCAGTGAGTTTCCAACTTGCTGCAAATTGGTTTGTTTATACAAAATGTATATGGAAGTTTGCCCACTACAATGGTTGCAATGGCAACGCTGCACATAAAAATGGCCACTATTTTGACCATCCTGCTTCACTGATTTGAATGTGACTGTCCTTTCTACTCTCACACTATTTCTATGATTGCTCCTCTCTGTGATGGCAGGGCCCAGCAGTGTGGTTATTCAGAGCAGCTATGAACACTTTCACCTTTAGACATGGTAGACACAACATACAACCAAGTTTGTTGAATGTATACTGAGAGCTTTAGCCTGCTTGCTTGCTGTGTCCAAATCTTACCCTGTGGCAGGGGGATTGCCCTGACGCTGACAGTAGCCAGTCTGTTGGGGGTGGTGAGGGTGACCATTCCACTGGGGTCCATACGCAGGTTGTCAGACAAACGACCCTGAGAGGCCTCCTCCTTCACCTAGCAGTGCATACATACACAACAACATATGTGTAAACCAATCATAGGTACTGAGAGATGATGATTCAATGTTAATGTTGATGGCTGTTTATAAGTTTATTAGTAAATCCAAGAAATCTGCTCTTTGCTCCACCACTCCTTCTAACTGCCAAAATGTCCTAATTATTGCACCCAGATAATGTAAAACATGTCATTAAACCTAGAGGACATTATCTCCTCTGTGCATAATTCCTAGCAAAGACGTAGCAGACACTAAATGCTTACAACAGAAAACAGAAACTTTTACAATGAATGTGCTGTTGACTGACCTGGTGAATGATGGCTACTTTCTGCTGCTTGCCCAGGTCTTCATTAACCATGTCCACTTTTGGAGAACGTACCACTGTTTCTCTGAATGGAATAATTGGCTTAGACGCGCTGATCTCAATTTTAGCAAACCTTTAAAAAGACAAGTGAAAAGCTTGTGAATTATTATGGCAGATAATGTGGTCCCCATTGTCCACCGTCAGTTTCATTCAACTTTGATGTTGTCTAAAATTCCATTCATGTACTGAGGATAAGCTGAGAACTGAGAGTAAAACACATTCTACCATTTTTTTCCCTGTTAAAGGTTTTTTTGGGGGGAGTTTTTCCTTATTTGCTGCGAGGGTCCTAAGGACAGAGGGATGTCGTATGCTGTAAAGCCCTGTGAGGCAAATTGTGATTTGTGATACTGGGCTTCATAGGCGTTTCTAGCCTATGTGTTGAAGCACCCCTAAATTTGAGAGATTTTTTAAAAAAAAATTTTTTTTTTACCTGAGGGCCCTTTTTAAAAAACTAACAAAAGGTAAAAACCCAACCAAACTTGGTTGCAACGTAAAATTTTCAAAAAAAAAAAACCCCCCCCCCCCCCCCCCCCCGCCTCAAAAATGGTTTGATCCACCCCATCCCTCCCACCTTTCCCCGACTCGGGCTCTGAGCGCTCTATCTGCACAGAGCAATGCGCTGTCTTCCAGAGTGGGTGAAAATGGTGTAAGTACCTGGCTTAAACCAGGATATGTGGCACATTTCTTAACTTCTACCACTCATTACTTGACCAAAAGTCTCCTCTTCTGTTCCTAAAATATGACACTGAATAATGGCCAGAAGTGTTTTATGCAGATCATTATGATGTCACGTGACGTGATGCTGACCTTTTACCTTTTTGATATAAAATGTCATCACTTCATTATCATGTCTTTTAAACACATGTAAAATCTTGTCATTAATTAACATAGGAATTATTGAGTTACAACATATTTTGTGTGGTTACACTGACCTTGACCTTTGACCTTCAACCATCAAATTCTGATCAATTATTCTTCAGTCCAACATTTGTGAACATGAATATTTGTGTCATATTTGAAGAAATGTCCTTGAAGTGTTCTTGAGATATCGTGTTCACACGAATGAGGTGGACGGACAGATGGACAACCCCAAAACATAATGCCACCGTCTAAGGCTATTGGCATAAAAACACTACAGTGGAAGCTTCTGTTGGAGTGAGGATATTTCTACTGTCATAGCTATGAGTAAAAAACAACAACCTGTAATTCTGTAATTGTCCGCATTAACACCAACATTAAATCAAGTGTTCCTTGCCCAGAGACTTGTCTGCATTCTAAATATTCTCAAAATCTTATCAGTTGTTTCTGAGATCCTGCTGAATGAAGTTTTAAATACACAGGATGTGATGTTAAGATCCAGAGTGCTGGGGACTCTGCATGGCAGGGGCGTCCTTCTCCTTGAGCTGAGCTTGCGCCTGACCACATACCAAGTTCAGGACTAGGTGTTACAATCCTTGCATATACCTCGAGACACTGTTGTGAGACAGATGGTGACATTTAGGGGTTGGGTGGTTGAAGGAGCTAACGATTTCACCGGGGTCGTCAGGTGGGCACCCTCCTTCTTTGGTGATTCGTTGATGAGGCCCACGACACCTCCAGAGGGCCCAGCAGCATCATCTGGCATCCCAGGTGTGCCCCCCCTCCACTTTAGCCCCTTCCACCTCTCATTCCCCCAATGACAGCATGCTGTTATTTTGAAGCCCAGGTGTTGTCTCTCCTCCTGATCCAGAGCCACTGACTGGCCCTTTCAGCTGCTCCGGACAGGGCTTTGATGGCTTGACATTGTGCCTGGCCTCGGATTCCCATGTCCTTGAGGAGCCTTGTTGTTGACTGGCCAACGAAAACCTCTGCAACCAACTTCAACTGGGAGAACTGCGGGTTTCCAACCCCATTGTTCTGCATCAGCTGCCAGCTCAGCGTACTTAAGCCTCTTGCGCTCATAGGCCTCACCCACAGCATCCTCCCAGGGCACTGTGAGCTCAATGATGTACACGCTTCGTATTGAAATGGACCAGAGCACAAGGTCAGGTCTGAGGTTGGTTGTGGCAATTTCCGTTGGGAAGCAGAGTCTCTGCTCAAGGTCAGCGAGGAGCCTCCAGTCTCTTGCTGCACCCAGCTGCCCAGCCTCTGATGTTGGTGTGTGGGTCCTGGGTAGCTTCTCACCTTCGCGGACAAACTGTCTTGAGGAGGAAGGGTGGGAGGACCGCGGAGGAAGGGCATTGACAACCCTCCGTCTGCTCTCCAGCGTAGCTGCCAGGCACTTAAGCACCTGATTGTGCCGCCAGGTGTATCGGCCTTGTGTCGGGCTTGTCTTGCAGCCAACCAAGATGTGCTTCAGGTTAGCTGGAGATGGACAGAGGGGGCATGTAGGGTCTTCACCATAACATTGGCTAAGATTCTGAGGAGATGGTAGGACATCGTATGTGGCACGTATGATGAAGCTGGATCGAAATGCTTCCATGTCCCATAACTCCTTCCAAGAGATCTTTCGCTTCTCAACATCTTCCCAACACATCCGCTGTCCTTGCTTTCCTTGTGAGACAGCCCTTGCGCACCTTGCAGCCTGCTCTTGCCGGCGCACATCCTCGACCACGAGACCTCGCCACTGAGCTGGAGTTGCCTTGTACCAGGATGGTTGGCTTTCCCCAAGACCAAGGCCTCCTCTCCCTTTTTGCACATGGCCCACGATGTCCCGGTGCTTGAGGGCTGATTTGGCCTTATGTGTAGCTGCAGCTGGCGTCCACTTCCTCCCAATTGCCAGGGTGGGAGCAGTTTAAGCTAGACATGGGTCACGGGACTCTGTCAGCATCATCTCCAATCTTATTTTGGTGGTCTTGTACTCCTCTGTAAGACTGGACAGGGGAAGGTCCAAGATCCATTTTCTGTAGAGCCCGATGTTGCTGAGGCACCTGGGAAGGCCTAGCCATTTCCTGGCGAATGAGCTGACCAACCTCTCAAGCTTGTCAACCTTTGAGATTGGCGCCTCCTAGATGGTCAAAGGCCACATCATTCGAGGTAGGAGACCAAACTGAAGGCACCATAGCTTCAACCTGCCAGGGAGCATGGTCTTGTCTATACTCTCAACGTCGCTGGTTGTGTCCTGCCTGAGCTGCTTCACTTGGTCTTTATCCCTCAGGGTTGCATTGTACCAACGTCCAAGGCTCTTGATTGATTTCTCTGCCACAGTTGGAATGGGCTCATCACCAATGTAGAAGTGTTGGTCTGACAGCTTCCCTCTGACAACTGACAAGCTCCTGGACTTGCTTGGCTTGAGCTTCATCCGGGCCCATTCGACGTTCTCCTGTAATTTCCTTAGCAGCAGCCTTGTGCATGGAAGGGTTGGAGTGAGAGTGGTCATATCATCCATGTATGCCCTGATGGGAGGGAGTCGCAGGCCTGGTTGTAGTTGCACTCCTCCAACCACCCACCGAGATGTACGGATGATGACCTCCATGGCCATGGTGAAGGCTAGCGGGGAGATGGTGCATCCTGCCATGATGCCCACTTCCAGGCGTTGCCAAGCTGTGTAATCTGCTGTTGTTAAGCATAGCTGCATGTCCTGGAAGTAGGCCTTGACAAGGGCAGTGATGGTATCTGGCACTCTGAAGTAGCTGAACCGAAGGCATTGGTGAGATCAAGCAAAAAGTCATGGAGGTCTCTTCCATCCCTTTTGCCGCTTGGATTTGGTGACATGTCATACTCGTGTGCTCCACACAGTTGTTTCTGAGATCCTGCTGAATGACAGACTAGTTGGGACCAACACAAAGCCTCCTTTATAACATTTCAGTTATATGAAAATAACTTGCCTTTTTTAATGTCCCTGTTACGGCCGCCGCTCTTTCCACCTTCATTATGTGTATGTGTGTGTGTGAGACTAACTTCCCTCTGTCTGCCGAGCTGCCTGAACCTCCACTGGACTCAGGAGCTCCACCCCTCTGTCTTGATTGGTGCGTCCTCTGCTGTTTTTGACCGCCCAGCCCACAGCTCACCTGGGTCCCTGATTGGTGCGGCACAAGTGCAGTGGGCCAATCAAGGCCCATCATCTATAAGTGCCCTGCCAGCCTGTCAGTCTGGGCGGCTGACTGTTGGTGGCAGCTCGCCTCTTTGACTGAGAACTGTGTGTTGTGACAGAAAGCCAACTAGTAGCATTCGTAGCTTGTTATAAACTTTTGTAAATCTTGTGAAACCTCTGAAGTGTGGCCAGGTTGTTAGATATTGTTGCCATTTTGACCAATTCCAGACTTTTCTCATCCACACTTAGATAATTATTTGTATAGAGACACTAGGTGCAGGGGTGCTGTTTTGTTGTTGTTTGTTTATATAAGCCAAATTAGATAGTTAGAATTTGTTTTCCTTTTATTTTTGATTAGTTAGATCATAGGTCAAGCTCTGAGTGAGTCCTCTTTTTGTTATATTTGGTTTTTGAGTTAACAACACCCACCGGCCCTCTTCCTTGGTTTGTTCTCATTTTATTGTTAACCATTTTTCCTTAATTTAAGTTACATGAAAAATGCTTTACCTTTTAACATCTGGGTTTTTGTGTTGCTTCCCTTTCCCCTACAAGCTGGGTTGTAACAGTCCCAAATAAAAAAAGATATTTACGTGCTGAAAGCCGTATGAAGCCAAGCTGCAAATATTTTGTGTCATTTGATTCATGTGCTTGCTGTGTCTCTGCTTTAAATCTACCCCTGGAGTAGTCACGCCTCATATATGGCACAGAGCAAGGTTGGAAATAATCCATGTGAGGTGCTGTAAATATTAATATGATTACTACCACACTGTAGCTAACAGCTTAAAAGGATAACTTCACCATTTTTAAACCTGGACCCTGTTTCCCTGCGTAAATTGGTCAATGAGACTGATGTGAACAATTTTTGAAATTGGTATTGAGGGAGCAGGCAGCGGCCTGCAGCCACGGGACGGGCTGCAATGGAAGCACATGGGACAACCGAAATTGTCACCGCATGTCCATTAAAAGTGGTTGTCTCTTTACCTTTCACTTGATCCAGTCTGTTTGTTTTTGCCTCGTTAAGCAGATGTGTCTTTCTGAAATCTCACAAAATGTCCCTTGCC